AGGGACTGGGGGGTGGTTCTCGGGTGGCTTTGGGGCCCTGGGGCCACAGCTCTGCAACCAAACCCACGTTCCCTTCTGGCCCCCCAGCCCCACTTACCAAGTAAGGCCACCAGGAGGAGAACCACGACGATGTTGTTGGCGTTCCTCTCCTTGTAGAAGTACAGCAGCAGGCAGAACAGGATGATCTCCACCAGCTACGGGGACAGAGCGGGGTCAGGGCCGAGACGGGCCAGCCTGGGGCTTCGCGGTCACAGGCACTCAGAGGCATTTATCTACACTAACCAGCCGCCAGCACAGAAAGCCTAGGAAGCAGCTATCATGTCTCAAGCTAGTTTATGGCAGAGCTAGGACCTGAACCCGGACGGCCTGGCTCCAAATCTCACACACTTTCCCGTTGGCTACACTGTCTGAAGACAGGAGGTGCAGGGCATTTAGAAAGCTCACTCTTAGAGATGGCCAGCCTGAAGGGCCAGAAGCTCTCTCCATCACATCAATGATTTGCCCTCTCTACCTTCTAATGGCCCAGACATTGGGCAATACTTTCCCGAGAAGCTAGGCCAGACCCAGCACCCAGCAAACCAAAACCAGAAAACTTCAACAACAGCTTAGCCCTATGTGCCTACCTCAGTCCCTACCAAAATTTCAGTATACAAACCAATGCGGAAATATTAATCGGCACTTTGAAAAGAAAACATTGAAAAATTCCTCCTACTTGGGATCAGCAGTTGGCATGATAGCTATGTCGCTGGACTCCATGTAGCTGACCGTGGTTCAAGTCCTGGACCCGGTGGCTTAAACTCATGCCGGGCGCGTGTGCGTGCGTGCCCAAGATCCCGAGAGGAGAATGGAGGAGAAGGGATTGCGGCGTGGCCATCCCCCCTGGGGGGCGATTTCTCACTTTCTGTCTCTCTCTGTCTTCCTGGCGAGTACACGCACCCGATAGCAAAAACCTCTCCAAAAATAAATGAAAAATCCCTCCTACTTAGAGATCCATGCAATGCAGCTGCTCTACTTCCCCGGTCTTCCTGGTCTCTATCCCAGCGAGTACGAGCTGAATCTAGCTGTCACTGCACTCACTGCCTAAGGGATGGGCTGTTTTTAGTTACCATAAACAATCTTTGTGTTTTATGAAGTTGTCATGGTCATCTTTAATTGCCACGAAGACGCCATCACACAGACGCAGTCATCAACAACCCTGGACCGCTGTGCCTGCATCGGAGGTCCCAATTTTTTGGCCATTCTTTGTTTGTCAGAAGTGTGTGTACTCACCAGACAGAGAAGAAAGAGGGAGAGGAGAACACGCCCCCCACAGGCGTGGTCACAACGCAACCTTCTCTCCTCCATCTTTCCCTCCTTTCGGGGTTCTGGGTACACGTGCACAAGAGCCTGGCATGTTTTTCAAGTCTCGGGTTCAGAACTTGAACCACACAGTTGGGCAGGTGGGATCCAGGTCCCTTAACCATGAGGCCACAGACTGGTGCTCGGCCATTCTTTGTGGTGCTTAAGTGAAGGCTGGACAGCACTGGTGTTAACGTAAGATGGCGGTGTGTGCTGCGCCTCCCGGCAGGCTGTGAGTCCTGCAAGCATGCCTCACTATCTTATGCACAGTGTCTGGCACACAGCAGACACTCACTAAACACGTGCTGAGTTTGGGTTGGCCAGACCACTCCAGCTGCCAGCACTGCCTCATAGTCACGATAGAGTAGGACCAACCGAGTCATTCGCTGAGTACCACCGGGCACTGGGCACCACCGGGCACCACCAGGCGCTGGGTGATGTACACGCTATGTCGTCTCCCAAGCACAATCGCAAGTCCACTGATGTTTCACATTTTGCAGAGAAGGAAACAGAGAAAGGGACTGGCCCTGCCACATAGCATACAAAGGGTTCAAGCCCAGGACTCCTGAGTGAAGGGCCTGCCCAGGTCTTTGGCTCTGTCCTGAGGACATTTGTCCACACCCACCCATTAAACTTTTGGGCTGGCTAGTTGTTAGAGAAGACACAGCCCCAACCTCGGGAACACAGAGGAGATGGATGTTCTGGGGCCTTCAGACTCAGTCGAGGCCCAGGTGCTCATATCAGAGGAGAACTGAGCGCCTGTCTCAGCAGCCCATGGGCAGCAAGGCGGCGCCTGAGCCCTGCTGAGCCCGGTCAGGTCCAGCTCTGCTCCTGTGGGTTCTGAGCACATGGGCGTATTTACCAGAGCTCCAGTTTTCTCATCCGTAAAGCAGGGAGAAAACCACAGAATGTATAGGGTTCTGAGAGGATTTAAAATAATATAGGAAAAGGTGTTTAGCACAGTGCAGGGTGCAGAAGGAGAATATAGCAATAGCTTTATAATAAGCACCTTCGACGTTTTCCTTAATCGGTTTATTTGCAGATCTAAAATGAGATGGAACCGGGGCAAAGCACTGGGCCCTGGTGCTCCTCTGAAGAGTCAAAGTCCCCGCTGTCTCCTGGGGTCCTATCAGGTGTGTGACTCTCAGGAAAAAAAAATAACATTCTCCCATTGTTTAGAACATGAACTTTTCTTTGTCACCATAAAAACTTTTCTTTAAAGAATTATTTATTAGGTTGTCAGGAAAGTCATGATGTATTTTTCTATGTAAAAGTGCATCATGACCTTCCCAATGTCCCAATATCTAACTTTATTATTATTATTTTTAAAATAATTTAACTTTATTCATTATTACTATTATTTTTAAGATTTGTTATAGGACATATGCACTCACTAGAGAGAGAGAGGGAGAAAAGGTGAGAAAGGAAACTATCAGACCCAGGACTTGAACCCTGGTTGGCCATGTGGGAGTCCAGTGCCTTCACTACCATGCCACCTGCTAGCCCTTGCCAGAAAAGTTTGAAATGATCACAGTAGAGATTTTGGACAATACAGAAAGATGAGGAAATAAAAAACAAATCACAATTCCATCACCCAGAGACAGCAACGATGGAATTTGTTTTTCTATCCAGTTCTTCACAGATACATGTAGGTCCAAGTCCGTACCTACACACGTCTCCAAAAAGTAACACTAGCACGATACTATATATGGTTTAGACATCACACAGGGCGTGAGACAGGCACTGCCATGTGAGATGTGCAGGATTCACAGGAAGCCCCTACTGCTGGGGCTCCTAGGACTCGATCCCTCCTGCCATTGCAGGCGCAGGGACTGGAGGTCTGCTTACCATGTACAAGAGAAAAGGCCAGCTCACGAGGTGCCTGGTGATGTTCTCGCCCGTCATCTTCTCGTGACTGTTGGGTGCGAATGTCACCAGTAGGTAGGTGCCCACAACAGCCAAACCACAGCCAACGAAGGACAAGACATAGCGCCCTGTGGGGAGGCAGAAGCTGTTGTCAGACTCATCACGGGAGAGGGTGGAGGTGCGGAACGCCTTGGCAGG